CCTCATCCTAAGCAGTCCAAAAATCACTATTATATTGTTGTTGCAGTAACCATTTAAAATAATAAGCTTAAAACATATCTTCTTGTAATAGGTTTGAGACATACATGATCATTGGTAGCAACTTGAAGACCATTGGTATGATCTGGAAATTCAACCACAAGATCATCTACAAAGTGGAATTCAACATTCTATTTTAGTTTTTTATAATCGGGAATGGAATTGTTGCTTTATTTGATCCTAATTTGAGGTCATGTCTAACAAAGAACACGTGAAAGGAAGTAGAAGAAGAAACAATTGAATCTGATAACCTTATTAAGGTTCAAATGTTTAAAGCACAAGAACACCCACCTTGAAATTGTCTAGCCTCGTTTAATGAAAATGACTTGAAACAAAAATTTGAGTTCATGTTTAACAAAAAATAGGTGAAAGAAAGTAAAAGAAGAAACAACTGAATCTATTAACCTCATTAGGGTTCAGCGATGATGATAGTGAGGTCCATGACTTCCATTAGAATCTTTGGTGGTTCATATCTGTTGTCCGATACAGAAGCTACCAGATACTTTTTAGACAAAGTAAAAGTAATGAAATGGAGTTTAAGGCTTCAGTCCATGATAGTTTATTTTATTTCCTTATTTTTATTAGTTTATTTTATTATTTTTTAAGTTTTTTTATTAGTATATTCTTTATTTTCTTTATCATGGATCGTGTCGGATACTTTCTATTTTGCATGAGATGTTTTGCGGGGTTTTGGAGCTCATTGTGGTTGAGTTTTGACTGGAGTTGGGCTTAGTGGGCTTCTCGATACATTATTAGGCTTTACGAATCCTTCAAAGGAAATTAAGGCTTAAAAAGTTGAAGATTTGGATGGAATGGGCTTTTGAAGATGGGTCATGGATTCTTATTTTGGGCATGGACTATCCATATTTTAAAGCTTGAAGGTGATTGGCCAAATTTGAATCATATGAGGCATAGAGGGGGACCAAGGGAATCTTAGGTAGTGAAGTGGTGTAGTGGAGAAGAATGGACCAATAGTATTCCAACAACACTTGCTAGGGTGGAGTCTTAGTCGCGCAACACTTGCACAGGTACCCGCACAACTACACACTTTTGGGCATTTTGGTCATTTTGTTCACCATTTACCTTGGGGGTTGGATCTTTCAGAGACACTTCAATTTTCCACCATTAGAGACCATTAGAGGCGATTTTGGAGCTTGATACTCATTCTTCTCATCCTTCTAAGTAATTGGTAGTTTCTTGATGCAATTATACTTTTATGATTGTTATCTTGTTGCCATTAGTGGTTAATTTCTCTATTTTGGTTAACTTTGGCTAAAACCCTTGGATATTTGTGGGTTTTTGAAGGATTCATGCTTGATTGTCATTTATCTTCTGTTTATGATTATAGTTCATATTTCTTATGCTTGTTTAATACTTTGATCATGAGCTTGGTACTTGAATGAGCAATTGTTGGTTTATTTCTTTGTTTTAGCATTGAATCATTGAATGTAGTTAGAACAAGGGCTTTATGATGGTAGAAATCATCTCTATCTTATGAATCATGGCTCCTTTATAGATGTATCACTACTAGAAAAACAGCCTTTTACGACGCTCATTGCGCGTCGTAAAAGGTTCAGATGACACGCAAATGCGCGTCAAGGAAGGCCCTGTCATAAAGAGAGATGACGCGCTTTTGCGCGTCGTCTATAGAAGACGCGCATTTACGACGCCCATTTACGATGCGCAATTACGACGCGCGTTTACGACACGTAATACGTATCAAGGAAGGCCCTGTCATAAAGGAAGACGACACGCATTCGCGTGTCGTAACCTTACGACGCGCGTGTTAATGACACGCAATGCGTATCAAGAAAGCCCATGTCAAGAAAGGGCATGTCATAATTGAAGATGACACACATTTTTGCGTATCGTAAATTTAAATGTTTAAAAAAAATTATATATTTATTAATTTTTATAATAGAAATAAAATACCATATACAAAAAATATAATCCATTGCATAATATAAAATAAAATTTAATACTCAAAAAAAAAAAATAAGTTGCACAAATTATAATGTCATACAAAGAATCATTCAAATGTTAAACAAAAATAATATATTGCTAACATGAGTTATACATTCCTATAAAAGTAACAAATAATCACACAACTCTGTTTCTTATTGGAAACATTTCATGTTATTTGTTTCTACCAACGCCTTGTGTGCGTACCACCTGCTTAATGTGTACTATGTGTACTGGAAAGGAATGCCAAACATGATTACAAGTCTACCTTAATCTTGATTACTCACCTGCTTAAGTCACTACTAGAAAAAAGGCCTTTTACGACGCTCATTGCGCGTCGTAAAACGCTCAGACGACGCGCAAATGCGTGTCAAGGAAGGCCATGTCATAAAGAGAGACGACGCGCATTTACGACGCGCAGTTATGACACGCATTGCGTATCAAGGAAGGCCCTGTCATAAAGGTAGACGACACGCATTTGCGTGTCGTAACCTTACGATGCGCGTGTTTATGACACGCAATGCGTATCAAGGAAGCCCTTGTCAAGAAAGGCCATGTCATAAATGAAGATGACACACATTTTTGCGTATCATAATTTTAAATGTTCTAAAAAAAATATTTATATATTTATTAAATTTTAAATTAAATTTGCATTTAATGTCTCATAATAGAAATAAAATATCATATACAAAAAATACAATCCATTGCATAAAATTTAATGTCATACAATTCTATTTTTTACAATATCTAAATTTGCATCTAATCTACTCTCTACATCAAATTCCAACTAAGTAAAGTTGCATCTTGCCTTTCATAATTCTTTAAGACTAATGCTGCAAGATTTGAATCAAGTGGCTTCATATTCCTTTCTTCCACCAAGTTTACCTGATGCACAAAATACACAGAAACAAAAAAACATTGTAAAGGAAGGGGTAATTTGGGAAAATGTGAGGGGTATCCTCTGCAAAACAAAACAAAAAATATCCTTTGCAAGATTTGCTCTTTAGTATCCTCTGCAAAACAAAATAAAAAATATATATCAAAAAATTAAATTTTTTTATAGTTTTATATTATAATTATGCCTAGAGTATTGCATACCTGAAGAACCATTTGTTAGCTCTACAACACTTTTTGAATATGATGTTGTATCTTGATATAATAAACAAATAACTAAAAGTAGGTTGCTATTTCTTAAAAAGTAATTCAACTTTGGCATATTATAGCTTACCTTCTCTGTTGGTGGCAACTGCAATGAGTTCTTTCACGGCTATATCAGAAACAAGATAAAACTACAGAAAAAAAAAATGTTGGTTAACTCAGCAAATGATAAACCAATAGTTGATAATTTACAATCTTTCTTTCATCATACAATCTTTATTCTTTAGGTATAATGTATTTATTAATCCAACAATATTGACATTATGCATAACTTGAATTCAAATATAAATTGGACAAGATATAATGTCTTTCTTAAGCAAATAGTTCAATATGCTACCCCACTATCGTTGACTATTAAAGAAATTAGGGCCAAATCTAACAGTAGAATGTTTATGACAATTAAGGCCTCATTTGGAAGCCAACAACAGTAATACAAGCTAGAAAAGTGGGATCAGGTGGTGTTTTTAAATTATAATTTTGAATAGAAAAGGCAAAACTTCTATAACAACTACTAAAGCAACTGAAGTTAATATCATGATGCCTTCCTCAGATCTTGATGCTGATCTGGTATGCTTGCTTCCAATTTATTTTTCCCACTGCCACTGCCAAGTGTTAGCAGCTTCTCCACGTGTTCGAATACAACACAAAGCCGTTTTACATCTTGGATTATTTCCATATCACCCGGTAGCTTGTTTGTTGCCAATGCAATAAGTCAGATTAAAAAAATGACTACTTTACCCTTGTGTCAAAAAATTGTAAATAAGACATTACACATACCTTGCAAAGGCTTCAATGCAGAAACAACGGTGAAGTATAATTGGTCGATTTTTATTCTCATAAGCTAGTCTGGTTAAGAGTGTCAGCTGCAACTCTGAAAGCAGTACACACCATTTGATCCAGTAATTGATGTGGTCTTACTATTTCCAGATAATGAAGTATATGTATAGATATTGGATGATGTTAGTTTCATTGATCATGGAGGGTAAATGTGGAAAAATAAAAAAAATGTACCTTTTTTCTTCTCTATTTGGGTCCATAAAATCATCAAACAACAAAAAGTTAGGGGAATCATCAGAGATAAAAACACCATTTTATGTAGTACCTAAAGATAAGATGTCCTTCTCCAACTACCCAAAGAAGCTCTAACAAAAATTATACATAATTTTCAGCAAAGAAATTCATTTTATAAAGCCTAACGCAGGGTAACACAGCAGCAAAAAAGAAAGAAAACCCAATACTCAAAGATGATAATTGGATGTTAAAAGACTGAATATGACAGGAATATAAAGTGGTAAAAGACTAAAATAAATAGAAGAGATGACATGATATGAAGAAAAGAAACTTGAAAAAAAGTAGTAAAGCAATTTAGACATGTTTTCCATATTTTGAATCACTAAATGACTTACTTCCTCAATCTACAATAGTAATAGGTCAGTTAAAGGGCACACTAAATAGCAATACTTCTTTTTAAATCTAGAGAATTTATTAAACTTGTGAACATAAATTGAAACCAAATAAATGGGGAAAAGAAGAACCAAACCCCATATCCTTTTGCTGCTGACCTGGCATGTTTTCATCAGCACTAACAGAAGAATCCTTGACATTTTTATCACTAAGAGAGGGTTTTTATTTGTCCTTTTGAGCTAAAGTTCTGACAATCGTTGGAATTGGTGGTTTTCTAGTAGATTGGAGAGGATTGGATTTAGCCTTTAGGAATATATATACATATTTTATATAAAAAAATTAAGAAACCAAATAAATGGGGAAAAGAGATAGTAGCTAACCTCAGAAGAATGGAGTCCTTTCAAACTAGACCACTCAATCTACTTGTCATCCTTCCAGACAAGAGTTGGCCTCACATGCCATGACCTAACAATTGATGCCTTTGATTGAGCTGGAAAGGGAAAAAAGGTAAAAACTCAACACAATTTATAAATTTTGAAGGAAAAGTCAGATAACAATACCTACCAGGAAACTGGACAGTTAAAGAAGTCAAATCAATCTTATTTGTGTCCATAACAATTGCTTCATGCCAGCTACAAAAAACAGTAAAAAAAATAGAGTTTGTGATGATTAATAAGTATTAACGATTGAAAATGTAATGAGTTGAGTTAAATGGTTACCTATCTTGTACCCAAACATCAACTTGATCTCCACTACTCCAAGCATAATCTGAAAAGACTGTTATGCCCCTCTTTCTACTCCTTTCAAACTGCATGGTGGTCACATCAATATTCAATGCTCTTGTGCTCCAAGCTAATACACAGTTACCATCATTTGATAGAGAGATACAGTTCCATCATTCCGGATTTCAAATGTCCGTACAGTTCCGTCAACACTACCAGCAATAATCTCAGTTTTTGTTAAACAGATAGACATAACGCTGTCTAGAAAGGTGTCAATGATCTGTGAATCAATTAAAACTATCATCAGCTTTTGATAATATAAATATATATATAAAAAAAAACTTAGTACAAACGTAGATGTAGAAAAGGGAAAGGGAAAGGGAAAGAAACCCTAAACCCGAATTGGCTCAGTGCTGTGAGATCTACAGTCCCAGGCACGTAAGGAACGATCATACCCTGCTGATACAACAACAGATGAATATTTATTGAACTTTACTGCATTCACCTGCACAAAAATGGTGTTATGATTGTGAAATTATAAATATGTGTTATGTGATTGATAAATTGGTTTGTTAGGGAAATTACACACCTCACTGTCGTGACCTCGAAACTTTTTGATCACACGCCCAGTCGATTGGAAGAAGGAGGTTCAATTCAAATCATACTAACTACTCATTAGAACCAGCATACACGAGTGGTAAAAGTGTAGAAGAAGGGGAGCCTTTTGGCTGAAATAAAGATTCACCATCAAATTCCTTATTATTTCCTAGTTTTTTTGTGGCTTTGATTTTTCTGTCAGTTGTGCTAGCACCAATTGTTAGAACCCATGGAGCTATATTTGTTGCAGTGCCATAGAACGGACCTGAGTTCCCTGTTGCACAACTCACAAATATTCCTTTTTGGATAGCTGCAAATGAGCTATTGCAATGCTGTCTTGAAAAAAAGGCATGTTTTCTTCTCCAATAGAAATTGATATCACATCAGCTCCATCAACTACTGCAGCATCAAGCCCGGTTAAGATGTCACTCTCTGGCAAATCTAGACCAAAACATACTTTATAAACCGCCAGATGAGCATAAGGTGCCATCCCGACAGCTAATATTTCACTCTTTGGGCAATCTGGACAAAAAAGTAGACCATCGGTTCATTTTTTGTGATGGAAGTTTCGTTTGAGCAATTCAACGAACAGTTGGCATGCATTGTTCGAACAAAAAAATTCAAAAAATATAACAGGTGATAGTTACACCAAATCATCCACCATGGTTGATTAATCGATAGACCGACTCTCTATCTCAATTTAGTGGAAATTACAAGGAGAGTGAAATAAAAAGGAAAGGGGGGAAGTGGTAGCATAGGAAAGAAAAAAGTTCAGAACTTTAAAATCATGTCTACGTACCTTCAAAATTGAAGCCAAAAAACTCAAAACTGTTGATTCGTGGCTGGAATCGTTATTGTGGTGCGATGTTGGAATGGTGGAGTCCGAGAGAAAACACAAATTATGATGGGTAGCTATCGTTGTTGGTAACGCATGATTTATCAAAAGCCCTAGTTCTTCGGTCAATCGTCTATTTTGTGAAAGAAGATATTACCATTGCAAATGCGTTATGTCTGATTAGGGCTTGCATAGAGAAGGAGTGAAAGTCGATCGTAGAGGAAGGGGTTTGTAGAGAGAAGGAAGGGAGAGAATGAAATCGATATGGCGGGTGTAGAGAGTACAGAGAGAAAGGAAGGCGGATGTTCAAAATTTTGGGGGAAGGAGAGACGAGAAGGTTGAGGTTTTGATTTGGGGTTGTTCAACAGGTAGCTTCGATTGACGGTTGATGAGTCGTAGTTGTCGATCAGCGCTACAATCGAAAGGAGTTGCAGTCACTGAACCATTTAACGCGAGGATCGGGTTTGAGACTAGAAGAGGCAACGAGGATTGGAGGCAATGGATGTGGGTGAGGGTGGAGACGAGGGAGAAGAAGGCGGGGGTTTAAAAAATTTGGGGATTTCATTTTCCTTCTAAGGAGAAGTGAGAAGCGCGTTTCTTAAAAAAATATAAAACGACATTCATAGACGACGCACCTTTTAGCTAAAGTGCCCTCCGTGTTTTTTATTTTTTTACATTAGACACTAATTTAAGGGCACGCAATAATGCGCGACCTAAATCCTTAAATTTTTTGAAGAGATGACACTTATTTAACGTTACTCTCTTTTGCGTAACATATATCTCCGAGTGTCGTTGTTTGCGCGTCGTAAAAGGGTCTTTTTCTTGTAGTAAGTAGAATGCTGTTGTTGAGAAGGTTACCTAGCAACAGAGAAAAACACAACACCTCTCCCACAATCACAACATCATTTACAGAAAAAGGGTTGTCAATTACTTTCATTTAGACTTTCATTCAATCACAAAAATATTAAATAAAAGGGTGAAAAAAATAACTTACTTTTGATAAGTTGATCTCCCTTAGAGCAAACACAGCTAAAGCATTGAACAAGACCCTAGGGCTTTCTTCTAATGTAAACACAATGCTCGTCTGCAAAATTGAGGCGATAAAATAAATTTTGAATATTGTTTGGGTAGTTTATATATGATTTGATAATTTGATTTAAAATACAATAAAATAAATTATCTTTTTTATTACCTTATGGGGCTTGTCAATTCCTGGGATTATAGGTTCCCTTGCTAGTATTAGAGAACGAGTTATGTTATCTAAATCATCTTGAACATTCAATATAACAATTGTAAGACAAAAGGAGAAATGTATATTTGAAAATACTATGAGATATGAATTTTTTAATGTTATCAATCCATAAATTAAGCGCAACAAATGGTTACCTATCTTTTTTAAAAACTTTTATGGGGGTATAATGACTGAAATGCCCTTGTATTTATATACATGTTTACAAATATAACTTTAATAACTAGGTGACACCTGGATTGCTTGTGCTAGAATATCAAGCCCAATTTCAGCAGCCTGAGAACTTGCAACTGCTCCAGTGTCTCGTATGGATTCCGAGGCTACAATCTATTAAAAAAACTCTTAACAAATTTTAAACAAAGAAAAAAAACAATATTAAAAGTTTAAACGCAAGAATTAGCAACATAGTTTCATTTATTTGTTTATTATAGCATCCTACTTCATTGATCAAGTTCCTGTGTCATTACATAACTCTACTAAATCACAAACTAGCACTTACTTTCTTACAATTTTACAAAATAACCAATGACCTTGATTTTGGTCTACATAGTTATCCAATTTTGTCTATTTGAGACATCTAACTCATACTTGAAATAGGGATGGCAAAAGAAACCGAACCCGATGGTAAAAACCGAAAAACGACATATTAGGGTCGGATTTGGGTTGGTTAATCGGGGCCGAGATTGGGTTTGGTATGCTTTTAGAAAATTTTCGCGGGTTTGGTTACGCGGACGGTAAACAAAATACCCAGCCCGATTACCATAAACCAAAACCAAAACCGAAACTCATTACCTGAAACCGTTCATATGATTATATATATATATATATATATATATATATATATATATATATATATATATGTTAAAGATAATTTCTCGAGATAGCTTCATGTTTATTTGTAGTGCTAGTGTTTTGATATGTTTTTTATTTATAGTACTTAGAGTAATAATGATATTATGGTTTATGAATGCTAGTGTCTTTATTGTTTTTTTGCCACTAGTAACCACTTATGTATCAAAATAAATATGTCTGCTCTTAATGGTTTTGTAAATTATCAAAATTATTTTCGATATGAATTTATGCTTGCATCACTAAGTCTAATGGTTTTGTATTCTCATTGCATAAAAATTATTCTTAATTTAAATCTTAAATGGGGATCCCCATTACCCCGTTGGGATACCCGCAGACCCGATAGTGTTTGGTAAATGGGTACCTGTTGGGATTCGGGTTGGTGATGGGATCGATTTTCATATTCGGGGATGGGGTCGGGATTACCAAAACCCATCCCAAACCCGCCCCGTTGCCATCCCTAACTTGAAAAAACAAAATTTGTATCAAACTGATAGTTGTCCTGTGCTAAAGTAGTTCCAACGACATCTTATGTCTCAATGAAAACCAATTTATGTTACATTATCTCCTGGACCATACATAATAAGTTTCAGTAAATAAGTTCAATTCCATTCATCACTTAATTTAGCAAACTAATAGTTGTCCTGTGCTAAAGTAGTTTTAATAGAATCTTCCCTTACAGCTCCATGGTACAACACCGTTGACAAAATCAGGACTTGTAACTGCAGAAACAGGGGACCCATTGGCCTCACCGTTTTGCCTCACCCATTGGCCTCAACTCGCCGGAAACCTAGCTCCATCGTCGGCCGCTGATTGCCACCGCCGCCCCTTATTTTGACAGAAATTTTCAAAATTTTTGTTTCTCACTGGAGATTCAAAAGACTTAGCCTTGCGGGTCCAATTCATGCTTGGGGTGGAGTTTTAGCGGTTTTCTTTTCGGGTTTCGACACTCGAATTTGGTACATTCCTTTTGATTTTATTGCATTCCATTTCTAATTTGGATAGACTTATGCTATGCATTAGGTTGATTAGAATTGAATTGCTTTGAATTTATTGGATTACATTGCCTTGAATTGTGCTAAATTGCAAGTTTGGAGTATTTGCTCGGTTTATATTTTTATTTTTGTTTGAATTGATTGGATTGGTGTGAGACGAATGTGAGGGATAATTTTGGTCAAGTTTTTGTCTTTTTTCTAGGTTCTATTAACAGGTACAATGGGAAAGAACAAAACCATTCACGCGTCTTATGGTTCTTCCCGTGAAGCTCAATCACCGAGATTATCCAAAAAAGTATCAACCGAGCATGTCGATCGTGATGGTAACCTTGTCCTCACTAGTGCATAAATCAATCAATTCATGTCCAACCTCCAAAAATGTTCACTCCAAGCCACCAAAATTTACCACCGCAAATCTATGATCAACCTTGGCCTTAACGATTGCTTGCAACAAATGTTCCTCAACAGGGGTTGGCGTGATTATCTAGCAATTTTCGTGTCACCTACAAGCAACCCACACTCGAGTTCCTCTCCACTTATGCAGGGGATGACACGACGGGGGTGCTCACATTTAGACTCCAGGGTCGACAGCACTGACTCACATACACCACCCTCAACACTATCATGGGCACATACGATAGCCAAACCACCAATATCTAGAGTTATCAATGGAACCAATTCAAGATCTTGCCCAAAGTAGAGTTTTGATCTCAGATCTCCAGTCTTCTAAACTTCAATTCGAGTCGACAAAAAGATCCTTACATCATCCATCCTTGTTGGAGAATCGCCCACCAGACTCTTTCAACTTCCATTTCTGGTCGTCATGAACCAGGATAAATAAACATAATCGAGCTATATTTCCTCTATTGCATGTCCAGCAGTGGTTGGTCTTGCCCATGTTTCACCACCTTTTTTCATGGACAAATGTGACAGCATATGCATGAAGTCCACTGAAGATATTTTCATTGGCGGTCTCATCACCGTAATTAGTTTGGGTATGGGACTTCAATTTCCCGAGTCTAAATATATGCCAATGGATGACCCTCTTATCTACCTCCTTGAATGCGTAGCTCTCACTCAGATGGAATTGTTGCTACCTACCAGCGACAATAACCATTACTCTTAGCTCAATCATGCCAAGGAATCCGCCTACATCTTACCTCATCCAAGCATATCAGCCTTTACCACCAGGGACCCCGAAAGTTAGTGCTTACATGGAGAGTTAAATAGTGATGATGATGATGCAGGTAATGATGATGAAATGCAGATAGACAACACCGATGCAGATAGTCCATTTGAGGCCGAAGACCATTATGACCTCCTAATCTGACAACTGCCACCACCCTATTATGATCAGCCTTTGGGAGCACACTTTGAGTCACAACATGAGTACCAGTCCTATCAACAACACAACGATTTGGGACCTAAGTTTCCTTTTGAGATATATAATCATCTTGTTGCCTTGCGCCTCCAGGGAAACCAGAATGAATCAGCAATTCGGTGCATCAAGGAGCAGAAAGCTCGCGCCAACAGCTACATGGAGGATCTTTAGCATCATTTTCAGCCCAAAGTAGGTTACCGTCCTTGCGGGCCTCCTCCACCTTGATCCCGGTACGATCCTTCCTTACTCTCATCCTAATCATTGAGGACAATGCTTAATTTTAAGCTTGGGGTGAGGTATTCTTATCTTTTAACTTTTAGTGCATTTAGGTTGTATATAGTCGCATTTAGAGTAATTCATTTAGGCCATTCATAAAAAAAATAAAAATTTTGCATATTTTTGTTTCCTTCTTTTCTAATTTTCATACTTTTTAGATGCATCATAGTTTAAGTTCATGCATTTTTGTTCACTCTTGTCTTCTCATCCCTACGTGTACCATAGTGCTGAGTCATAAGTATTGACTCATAGATTGGTCCTGGGTCTTGATATGGAATTCCTTGTATTGGATAAACGGGACACACTTTGAGCCTTACATACCACTTTGAGACCACTTGTGTGGGGGTCAGATGCAGGTAGCTTGATTGGGTCTAGGTGTGGAGGGATGTGGTCGGTAAAACCAATGTGTGCGAGAAAAGATTAGCCCAGTAAGGTATTTTGAAGACATTGAAGACTCGCATATTGGTTTTGTGGGGAATACCCCTTAGTACTCCCGAGTCTCGTCCGAGCCTTACTTAATCAAATTCTTACCACCTTTTTAAGATAGGTCATCGTTTTTTAGTAGTCTAGAGTGGATAGTTAGATAGATTTTTTTATCACACCTTTCATTGAGGTGCTTGATGAACTTTGAAGAGGGTACCCCAGTTCACATCTTTTGGGACCAAGTTTTTTTGGTAACACTCATTTTTGAGTCATTCCCCACCCTTTTTAGTAGATCTGGACACTTTGTCAATGATCATTAGGTGTTCATGTTAGCCTCTATCGATTACTCCATTTTCACTATTGGAGTCCTATGTTACATGGTGAAATTCCTTAAACCTTCCAAGAAGAAAACACAAAAAAATGAATAAATTGGAAAAGTGAAAACAATAAGAGACGATAAAAGAAGATTCAAGAAAAGAAAAAAAAAACAATGAAGAAAAAGAGCAACACAAAAGGAAGAACAATAATCCAAGTTCTAGACTTTCCTTAAAAAACAAAAGATCGAGCATCAAAGAGATTGAAGACCAAATAACATAAGTTCAAGATTAAATATTTAAGTTGTTAGGTTTAGATTTAGGTTAAGTAGATTTTTCTTATTTTATTTAATTTTATTTTTGATTTTGGTGAGAAAAGACTATGACGATGAGATGGTAGATTGTAGAGGACAGTACAAGGGAGAAGCCTCTAAAACCGGATGTTTGCCCAGAGGCCATGCTGCAAAACCCTATTTTGTTATTATACACTTTAGCCTGACAAATGTAGGAATCATCGTGTGTGAAGAGGCACCTTTCCTTCATGCATTATGATATGCATTGGTGACTTAAAGTGCCCTCATTGGGTGCAGCCTCTGTTTCCTTTGTGTTGCACACCGCGACTGCATCCAGCTGTGATCTATTCGCTCGTCAAGTGGTTTGAGAATGTGGTTTATGGCTCTAAAGCGGGGAAAATTTTGAAGATGCGTAGGGTCCATGATGGACTGATTTTGACCATGTTGACTGATGTTGACCAAGTTCTATGGTATCTTTCTTTTTCCTTTTTAGTTTAGCTCATCTCGAGCTCATTTTAGTCTTGTTCTAACTTGAGGACAAGTTAGGTTTAAGCTTGGGGTGATTTGATAACTTATTTTATTTCTTTATTTTTATTAGTTTATTTTAGTATTTTTTTTTTTAGTTTTTTTTATTAGTATTGCATTGTATATTCTTTATTTTCTTTATCATGGATCGTGTCGGGTACTTTCTATTTTGCATGAGATATTTTGTAGGGTTTTGGAGCTCATTGTGGTTGCGTTTTGACTGGAATTGGGCTTAGTGGGCTTCTCGATGCATTATTGGGCTTTACGAATCCATCAAAGGAAATTTGGGCTTAAAAAGTTGAAGATTTGGATGGAATGGGCTTTTAAAGATGGGTCATGGATTCTTATTTTGGGCATGGACTATCCATATTTAAAAGCTTGAAGGTGATTGGCCAAATTTGAATCATATGAGGCATAGAGGGGGACCAAGGGAATCTTGGGTAGTGGAGAAGAATGGACCAATAGTATTCCAATAACACTTGCTAGGGTGGAGTCTTAGTCGTGCAACACTTGCGTGGGTACCCGCACAACTACACACTTTTGGGCATTTTGGTCATTTTGTTCACCATTTACCTTGGGGGGTTGGATCTTTCAGAGACACTTCAATTTTCCACCATTAGAGGCGATTTTGGAGCTTGATACTCATTCTTCTCATCTTTCTAAGTAATTGTTAGTTTCTTGATGCAATTATACTTTTATGATTGTCATCTTGTTGCCATTAGTGGCTAATTTCTCTATTTTGGTTAACTTTGGCAAAAACCCTTGGATATTTGTGGGTTTTTGAAGGATTCATGCTTGATTGTCATTTATCTTCTGTTTATGATTATAGTTCATATTTCTTATGCTTGTTTAATACTTTGATCACGAGGTTGGTACTTGAATGAGCAATTGTGGGTTTTTTTTTTTGAATTGAATCATTGAATTTAGTTAGAACAAGGGCTTTATGATGGTAGAAGTCATCTCTATCTTATGAATCATGGCTCCTTTATGGATGTGTAAGCATTGACATCCTCTAGGATTTGGGGATTCCTTCATTCTTAAGGCTAATCAACTTCTTGGGTTCAATTGCTTCAATTGAATCCTTGATTTTGATTAAGAATGTATGTTGTGGGCTTCCCTAACCTCCATACTACCTATGAGGAATCTTGGCATATCATGCTTCATGATTCCTATAACCAATTTGGGATGAATGATAAGCTTCATATTGAATCCTAATGATAAACACACAAATGTTCATTATGTTGAACTGCCTTGGTTAACCAATTCTCTCCAATATTTGAGCATCTCACCATCTTGCTTAATTGCAAGCTTTTTAGTTATTCAAGTCTTTTAGTTTTCAAGCAATCACAACACCCCCCCCCCCTTTAGTTTAATTGTAGTTAGTTAGTTTATTTACACTAGTTTTATTGGATTGCATTGGTGATTGAATACAACCATTTCCTCGAGGATGGATACCCCATTTTTCCATTATATTACATTTTATTTGCAAACAAAGGTGTAATTTGCTTGGTGGACTTGACATCCCATCAATCCATT